AGAATTTTTTTAAACAGTATGTTAATTTATAATACTTGCAAGAAGCAAAAATAAAATATTTCTTTCTTTGATTAATTTAATTTGTGCAAATATTTTGAAACCAATTTCATCTCAGTACTACATTACAAGAATAATTTTTGCTCAAAAAGTTTATTTTCTCTAAACTTATGCATTTTCCTCGTCTTTTTTGAACATATTTGTAATTAATTAGCAAATTTTGTTGACTGATGTTATTTGCATTTTCAAATTTGAAATTTTTTAGACTCCCTTCCTAATAAATAGTTTACATTTTATTAAATTTTGTGTTCATTAATACTATACTTATATTGCAGCTTTTTGCTTTTCAATTCCAATATTTTACAATTAACAAAGTTTATTCAAATATTTTTCAGCATTATCACTTGTGAAATTTGTTTGCATACATTTTTGCAATATAATACAACAATATTAAATATTAAAATTTTGTGCAGTGAATTTCTAGCAGAAGCAGTTATTTCTGTATAACAAATGCAAGAATAATTATTCAAATTTTTGTTCAAAAAATTAGATAGAAGTATTTATTTTCAGTTCTTCTTTGTTGGGTAGAACAAAACAGGAACTTGCTTATTGCAAGTACAAATATTGTAACAAGCTAGCTAAGCTATAAAAAGATTCTTTTTAAGCAAGAGCCTTTTCACGCAAAAGTATGCTATAATAGCACTATTTTTAAATCAAATTTTATCTACCTTGATAGGTCTTGAAAGATAAATTACTTGAACGCATCAGATTTGATCCGCAAATATATTAATTGATGAAAAATTTTCCAAATTTAAAGAACTAATAAAAATAATTAATTAATATAAATCATTATAGTTGGAAAATTTTATACTTCAAACGATAATTAAATGTTCAAAAAGTCAAAAAAAATTATATGAAAAGAATTGATGAGTTTGGATAATTTACTTAAATTCACTGAATAATGGGCAAATACATCAATCAGTATTTAAGCAAAAAATCATTGGTAATTATTTGTTACTTTCTAGGTTTTTGATATAATGTACTCATTTGCTGTATTCGATATACATAGTGAATTTAAAGGAACTGTAGACTGTTGTGTTTGCTTTGGCCTTTTTTTGCATTCTATACAATACAATTAGGTTCTCATCCTCCTTTTCGACATAGAAAAATATACTCAATTTTTGCGATAATTATTTTTTTATAAAGCATTCTTGTGATTGAAAAAGAAAAGGCACGATGAATTTGTTTATCAGAAAGAAAAATTCCTTAAACAAACAATAATTTTGTATCTATCGCATACATACAGTTTAGTCGCTGAGCGAATGAAGTTGAAAGTATGGCGAGCAGTACAGCGAATAAAATAAAAAATTATTATTTTTAATAATTTTAACAGTGATATGGATCAAGCTAATCAGAGTTTAACAAACTGAAAGGTAGTAATAAGCTAATAAAGACTTAATAATGTTAACACTAATTCTCTATATCAAATACTTACCTCAATCAAATTTTAGTGACGTGTAGAAATTGTTAAAAAGAACACAGTACACACTTTATTGAACATGACAATCTCTCTGAAGTACTTATTTTCACGTAAGGCCATGAAAATTAACCTTAAAAGAATAATTTAGTAATGGCGTTAAATTCTTTTAAAAGATATTTTATTTCATTGACCCATGAAAATATTAATAGTCTTCTTGAAAGTGACGCCCACACGTCACGTTTTTTTCGCTCAAATTTTGTTTCTCTGAAATTGGCTGTAATATGAAAAGAAGGAAGAATTATTTTGCACTGAAACATCTGAAGTGCGAATAGTCACTTTCTATTTTCATATCAAAATTTGAAAAAATGCTTAATTTGATCATTCTTCCACTTTCCTTATCGACTCTAACGAGCACTTCTGTTCAAAGTAAACCAAATTAGGTTTCTTTTTTTATACCATAAATGCAACATGAAAAAACCAGCAATCTAATCAGCAAAATTAGCGAAAATTTTTCAAGCATAATAATGATACAATAAAAATGAGAGAGATTCTTTGAGAAGCATTTGATAGAAATTCTAAAAATTTGGACAACAATAATTCTCTTGCATAAAAAATATTCAGAAGTAACTAAAAATTCATGAGCGAACTAAAAATTAAAAAAAAATAAAAGTCTATAAATATTAAAATGATTGCTTCTGAAAACAAAGAATAAATTTATCTATTTTGGAATTTAACGCATTAAAAAATAATGAAACAAAAACTCGAATGAGTGTCACGTTACGAACTTACGTGAAAATCACTTTGAGTACTATATTTTAAACATTTTTTCGTCCTTTGCATTTATTTATTGTTATATTAAAACGAGCGAATTTTGCTTAAATTGAGTGTCAAGGAAATAGATCAGATGTAGCCTTCTATTTTCAAGAAGTTAATTAATTGAAATAAAAGCAACATGTTACTAAATAAGATTATACTTTTATTCCCAATCCGAAAAAAGTTTTTATAATAAGCAAGTAAACAAGTTTGAAAGGAAACTAGAAATTAAGCTCATTCAAAAAAATCGGAAAGTAATAACACATTGCTGTTAATGTGCTCATCAGTACTGTTGTCATATCAACTTTTGTGCTGTTATCACTTTCTTGCAACTAAGTTGTGAGAGGCAGAAATTGATGCAAATGAATAAAATGAATAATAAAAGTGAGTTTTGAGAAGCAAAATATTTTAAGTGGAAGCAGAAATTATGAGTAATATGACGAAGGAATCGTATCTTAGCAAGTGCTAAAGAATGCTCATTATCATTATGATGTGTTCGTACATTTTCCAGAATCAATTTCCAACGTTGAATTTTTTTTAACTTTGGCAAAGAAAAGATAATTATTTCTTAAAAAATTTAAACTAGTAGAAACTTTGATCCAAGCATATTTGGTCAGTAAGAAATGATAGCAAATGACCACTGTAATCATTGTATCCCCAACAGTAAAAAGAATATTAAACTTAAAATTATCCTACAAAACCATTATATAAGTAAGATTTATTTAGTATGCAGAAACAGAGGCTAATGCTATATGCTTCGTTTATCATGCTGAATGTTTGGAATGCGTGAAATATTTTTAAGTATGTGATTATGTTCTACAATTAATATTTTATTGTTTATTCAACAATTGATAATGTTCTTCTTTTATTATATTTACTGTTCGTTTGACTGTTCTTTGATACTGTGATCAAAAAAATGGATTACAACAATTAACTAAGCACATTTTCATTTCACGCGCAAATAATTAAAGCAGAACAAGGTGAATAATAATTGTTTTATTTGTAATTCTATCTTTTTTGTCAGTAATAAAAGCAATAATAATAATGAGTGACGGAAAGTGATAAACATTATGCATGAGAGGAAATTCAAAAAATTTGAAGTTTCTTGGAAAAAAAATTAGAGAATAATTCCTTTACTTGCTTAATTTTTATAAAAATAAAATTATTGAAAGTTTCAAATGCATTTGCTAGATTTTTTGTTATTCAGTACCAGTTTTGCAAAAAAATTTTGAAAAACTGAAATGAGATGGAGTTCTTGATTGAATCTAGAAAAATACAGATGGAAGTACTGACATTTATCTATGAAGTTCATCTAAATATATTGAAAATGATTAATAACCGGAAAAGAGGACAAGCAGAAAGCGAAGAATATATTTCCGCTTTTTTGAATTATTTCTGGAAATTATTCATTTACAAAAATTACAGAGATGCTTTGCTTCCTGCCAAACTGCTAGACAAGCTTAAAAATATGAAAAGTGAGGAGCAAAACAGAGCAAGAAATGACAAAAAACGGTTCTAGCAGAGAAGTAACAAATTTTGTACGTTTTTAAGCAGTCAAAACTTTTTAATTCAATTAATAAATTTCTAAAATCGAATAAATTAGGATGCATAATTTTGAACTTTAAAAGTAATGAGACACCAAATGTTTAAAGTTAAAAAATATCAAAAGCAGAATAATAAATCTTTACTGTAATAATTGAAAAACGTGGCAATAAATTTCGAAGAATTCTGTTTTGTCTTTGAGCTATATAAAATGTTTGTATTAAAGATTTTCTTACTTCTCCTTCTAACAGAATCCAAAATTACGATGAATCAGTCTAACAAGATTCTTAACTCACATATGCGTCAGATTTCAGACAAATACGCAGAGACAATTTAAATATATACTTTATTCTATTCTACTCAACTTATATTTTTCATGATGCAACGCTGTCAACTTTATTACGGATGGCAGTTTTCATACCGAAAAAAACCACCAACATTTTGAAAATTACTTTAACTGAATTAAGTTTAATTTCCAGTTTCTAACATTCACAATGTTTCACAAAATATTAATTCACAAACAAATGATTTACTAAAAATCATATTCTCATTTTTTTCCAAGCAATTAAAATTTGAATGATCAGAAAAACACTCATAAAAAATGAAGCGAGATGGTAGTTTTTAATAAATTTACCAGTAAGACAAATTTATAAAGAGAAAAACTGCACCCACATATTAGTTTGTTTTTCATAAATTTTGAAATTTAAGCTTAATTACTCCATACCAAATAATTAAGCAACTCTAAATTTTTAAATTTCAATACGGAATTTCATTAGAAAATTCAAGCAAGAAAATGTTGACAGCAGATAATAAGCAATTTGAGCACCTTACAAAGTTAAAAATATAAGTTGATAGTAGAAAGTGCCAATGACAGCCAAGAGAAATGCAAGTGGAAATGGTGTGCAAACTGATCAGTCTACACCAGTTAACGCCGCTTCTTATAAACCAAAACTTTACTTTGTTTTGAAACGTTAACATGGGAATGAATCAATAATTACTGACAACTCTAAAAAGTCAATTTAGTATCCTAGAATATAGTACAGTTTACAGATTTCACAATTTTACATCTTATAAAATTCTGTGCTGTGGTAACCGAATGGTGTAAATGGTGCAAAGTTGGGTCCCACGTTTTACATGGCATAGATTCAATAAACCATAATTCAAACAACTAATTTTCGAGGTTACTTTCGATCACAATTAATGAATCTAATAATGCTCGCATGAAACGATGCACATCGGTAAAACTGTTATACAGATGCACAGGTGTAACACGTATCACATCTGGATAACGTTTATCAACCTAAAACCCAGATAATGCAAATTTTTACCAAAAATTAAGAATTTGGTGCTCCTTATTTTTACTAAGCTTTATATAACTCATAACGGTGAATCAGCGATAAAAATTTAATGTTTGATAAAAAAGTAGCATTAATTTAGGCTTGAACTCACCACTACTCCTCTTTTTACTAGCTCTTCATACACATTTGATATATTCACATTAAATTTAAGTGAAAGTTGACAGCCACGTTGTTCTGGATCAGATGGTGTCAATATGGTGCACATTACCTACAAAACAAAAATGAAAAAAGTATTGTGAATTATTAACTTCGAAAAATACGAATTTATCTGACATTTTGATCAATTGCTTACGCGATCAAGTGACGTCAACGGTGAAAAATTTTTCAATACACATGAAAAAAATATTAAAAAATTTGTACAAATGAAAGACACTCAAATATAATTTATATATTTTGAGCAGGAGAAAAGAGAACCTTTTTGGTTCTTCGATTTAATGACGACGGACTAAGGAAATGAATTAAAAGATATTCTAAATAACCAGTCAATAACACAGATTTGGCTCTCAAATCTTGCATCGTTGTTTTGGAGAGTACCTGCAAACAGCGAGAAATAACAAATGCTAAAAAGTTCCGTCTAATTTGCAACTAACTTGTACTCTTTTTACGTCTAACTCCAATGAATAACTAAATTAAAGCATCTTATTTCATTTTCAGTTTTTCTCAGCAATAAAAAATGAATAAATTGAAGAAAAAATAAAATAAAATGTAAGAAAAAGTGTGATTAGTAAGTTTTAAGTACAGAATTTTTCTCAAATATGTTTGTACTATTATGATCCTTGACAAAATCATAGCACAACAACTGACAATATGGTTATATTACTTCTAAAAAAGCAATAAATGGAACGACAAGCATCATAGGAGGATTACTGATACGATAACCAGCTGCGCCCTCATCCAAATCCATTTCTGCAAGTAAATAACACAATAAATATTTGTGGTCAGATTCAACATAACCTTCTAAGCACTTTACTAAAAAGCACAAATGTTATAAATTTGATACTGACGATTATCCATGATGAAACGGCTTTCCATCTTGTGACTCCACCAACCAAGCATGCGGTCACGTTTGTCATTTTCAAATCTCTTATGTACAAAGAATCCACCAATACCTCCAGCACCAGAACAACTATACTTATATGTACACCAACAAGCAAAGTCAACGTCCCAATCATGTAATGATAATGGAATATTTACAAAAGCATGCGCCAAGTCCCAGCCAACAAGACATCCCTGGAAAAACGAATTTTATTAGACGTCTCAATAAACTGTAAATGCCTGTTTTTTTTTTGAATTAAAAATCTATTTTTTTTGAAAAACTGTAGATTAAATAAATAAAATATAGGACTTTAAATATGGCATTATTTTATTAAATTTATTTAAATCACAGATTTATCAACGAATTTCACAGAAAATTAAATTATCATTTTAAAAAAGGAATACAAATTAAATCCCCAACTTTTTCATGCCCAGCTTTGGTTATTCGTTCGATATCAAAGAGTTGACCCGTATAATAGTGAATAGAACTAAACCAAATAACTGCTATCATATCACCTTGCTCCTCAATGACCGAGATAATATCGTCGTTCCGAATGCAGTCCTCACCCCAAAAAAGCATTTTCAATAGAAATAGATGCAAATGATTTTAAGAAAAAGCATAAAATTCAAAAAGCAGATCTTAAATCCTACTTTCACAGCAGTGGAATGCTTCTCAAGAAGTAAAAAAGATTCGATCTATGAACGAGTATCATCATTGACAAAATCCTTATCTCTTTTTCATATTAACCAAGAGTTATAATAACTTACAGGTTGCGGATGTATACAAATCATACTCTCTTCTACTGTGAACCCTTTTAATCGAATCTGTGATTCAATGGCATAATGATCTGATGGAAATGCTTTCGCTTCAGTAAGGATTTTATGGCGTTTTGAGGTAGGTTGATAGAAAGCCGCCTGCAAAAAATCACAAGAATTATCATAATTCCAGTGCATTCATAACAAAATAAAAATTTCTGTCACAGAAATTATAAATCAAATTTTAAAATATTAACTGAAATTAAAAATTAAAAAATTGTGCAATCTGTTAAGAATTTTCTTTGATATGACACAAACAAAGAAGTAATAAAGATAACAAAAAAAATTTAATAAAAAGGAAAAAAACAGATTAAACTTGTTTTATTTATCTCCAGTTAATTAGAACTTACCAACAAAATATGTAAATTGACAGTTAAACTGTTCATCAAAGCTACCTCGGTACGCTCAGCACCAACTAAATCGGCAATACTGTCCAGAACTGATTCATCACTATGCGCCCATGGCAAAGGTCCTTCTGTGTGCCCCAAAACACCCCTAAAGTCATCAAATTTGAGAAGTTTATTAAATTTATTTCTTCAATCTTTTCAAAAAGAGTTTGGAGAAAGTATGCTAGCTTTCTTTCTGAATACCAATGAAGCATCATGCTTAAAATTAATGCATAGTGGTAATTCAATAGCTCATATTTTTGAAACCAAAAGATACAGATCAAAAATACACCAACATATTTGCCCACTTTTCGAACTGCTCGTCCATAAGACGTTTCGTACCCTTCGGCATTAATCCTAATGAATTACCACACATATATATGGCATCATCATTAGCATTCACTAGTAATAAATCTACTGAAAAATAAGACAATTCTTATTGAAAGCAGTTAGTATTTTAACAAATTACAAAGGTTGTGTTAGGTTCTACAAAAAAGTAAAAAAAAGCAAAAATCATTCAAAATTTGGATAAAACTATTTAAACGATCGATAGATAATTGAAACGAATCATTAAAAGTAAAAAATCTGCTTAATTCTAAACAATTACGACTACGCAGGAAGATAAACTCCGTCTACAAAATCACAGATACTACACTGAAAATTGCGGAGAAATGACAATGCACCTATTTTTGTATTACGGACTTATAAGAGCGTAATTCTATAAAATTTGACCAAATTCATCATATTAATCTTTCTTACTTATAAATCATTAATTTTTGCTATTATAATGAAAATTAATGTAGTATTTTCTGGTTTTAGTCTATCAAATTATAACCAACCATTATTACTCATTACACTGATGATGCCATTAAAAATAAAAATAGTATTAATATTGCCGTTTTTATCTCTGAACTGCGTATTATTCACGTAGTTTTGCTATGACTTTCGAAGTACACAAACGATTTAATTTAAACATTTTTTTTTAATATTTTGTAAACGAAAAATGGGATCAAGTTTACTTTTTTTAAAACTAATAAAACAAAAACATCATTATTTTTCAACAAAAAATTAATAGAAAGAATATTGCAAGTACTAACTTTGTGGTAATGTCTTCATTTTAGGAAAAGCAAATTCATGGCGTAAAAATTTCAGTGGGTCAGCATCGTCTAAGGCTTCAGCAAGATCTAGAGACGTTAAATCTAAAATACCAGCATCTTGAGCAATGCGTTTCAAAAGAATCGGTATTTCCATTCGTTGGTTTTTCTGAAAGTAATTCTCACTGAATAAAAGATATTGAAAAACGATGAAAAGGAACCAAAAAATATACAAAAATTATCGTATTTTCTTACTTGAAAACCTGTTTCTTATCAAATAACGCAATAAACTGTCAAATAAATTTTTTACATGTAATGAAAAGTTATTCCTTATTCGTAGTACTATTTTATGAATGAAATAGACAAACTGTAGGCTTGAAACAATTCTGCGATTTTCCAGATAGATAAGAGTCTGTGTAAAAAGACTGGTGCACGGTAAGTTTTGTTTCCTTTTCTATTTCACTGTGAATCAAATCAGCATCGACGACGCAATCTTCATCCTTTTTCAACTCATTTTCTTTGAATCCTTCAAAAGATATAAGACAATGAATGCAAGTGTACAGTAACTACTTAACATGTCGTCTGTTTATGAAAGATGTTTATTTTGTGCCATGTTTATTAAATGACAGTCGATTACTGGAATTCAAGAAAGAATACTCATTTAAATTGAGTGCTTCTGAAGGAATTGAGATTTCTTTAATGTTAGAATTAGTTCAATTAGTTTATTTAGTTTAAAATAAAAATTAGTGAGTAAAAATTACAAATTCACCTTTAGATAGAGTGAAGAATTGTGAGCACTCATCATTCTGTGAAAGATTGCTGATGCATCTACCATTAGCAGCAGTCGATGTTGAAGGAGTACCACTTGCATCATAATTAGATGAAGCTTCTAGTAACTTCTGAGTACGACGTCGTTTACGACTGATAACTCGTTGCATTGAGCCCAATTTCGGGAGACCTAAAGTACTTAATTTTTTCTTTCCAACTGAAACTTCAATTACAACTATATTTTTGAACAATTTATTTTGTGATAGGATCACATTTCGTAAATATTTCAATCATTATTTACTTCTTCATAAAATATTAATGAAATCTTACAAATTTGCTAAAAAAGCGTAAGAAAATGAAATGCAAACAAATGCTCAACACTTCTATTATTTTCAGCAATTGAAATTTATATTTTGCATTTTATTTGCAAGAGTTTGTCTATAAACACATATCAGAAGATCCAGCAAAAGAAGCCAAATGAACAGCTTCGTGGTACAAAAATCTCGAACTGTTTGTTGGATCTTCAGCAGCTTCATATAGCCGCGCTTTTAATATGTCCGTGACAACTTTGAGTGGATTCGCAGGATGTGAATGGGTACTGTACATCTAAAACATCATTCAATAAACTATTAATTCAAAAATTTTATCGAAAGATCTAAAAAATATTGCTATGATTATAGCTCTTGATGATAATTACTAACGTAACAGATATAAACTGGGAGTTTCAGAAAATCTCTGATCTGGTTTTTTTTTTAAAATTAATCAAGAATGAATTAAACTTTACTTCAAGAGAATCTCGTGTCATTCGAACGCGTCCACTGCATTTATATCCTGGTTTCTTACTCATTTCACATCGCCATAACACGTATTTTTGATGACGCTTATCCAAATTGTATAAAAATCCTTCATACGCTAATTTTTCAAAACCTTTTTTAGAGCGGAAAATTTGAACATTTACATTTGCAGCCACCTGTAATTTTTTCATGAATTGAACTGATAAATTAATCAAATCAATAGGAGAAAGATATTTAACTGACAATACGAATGATATAGAAATCATTTAGCAACTTTTCAATTTGTATTCTCTACAAATTAGCGTAGCAATTTAAATTAATATTCAGAACTGATTTTTTTGATTTTTGTTTAAATTACTAATTTTATCTCATAAGTACTACATACTTCAGTCTAGTTTTTATTACCTTTTCAGTTTAACAAACAAAGAATACTTTTCATAATGTCTTCAAAAATATGCATAAAAAGTAAACTAACTTTGAACATAAAACTTTCCACATTACTACATTTGGGCACATCACAATTATCACAATTTGCTTTCTTTTTTTTACACAATGTAAATGATTCATTTATCGATTTATTGTGATCACTTGGATCAATATTTAAGTCTTGCTCTACTTGATTTGATCTAAACTTTCGTCCATTCATAGTATTATCATCAATAATAGTTGATGCGTCATTTTCTTGATTGAATCCTATTTCTTTCATGACTTTAACTGATGCCTAAGACAAAATGTGAGTTATTAGTAACCGAGAAATTTTTTTACTTAAACGTAAAAAAATGAAAACATTATGAGGGATTTTGCAGTCATTGACTTTACTTTATTATCGCTCAAAGACAAACAAGTCCTAACTTTGAACATATAACTTTCTATACTACACCTGGACAAATTACAATTAGCTAACGTGTGCTAACTTTTTATGGAAAACAACGTAAAAAGCAAAGTAGACTACTCCCTAAGCAGCCGATTCGTTTCAACAAGTCAGCATTTTCCATTCTATTTACTTATATAGAAATGGAAAAAGTTACTGTAGCAATCTTTGCTAGCTAAAGTGAAAAGCTCATTAGTGCATCTTCATTTGACAAATTAAATTAAATGTGCAGAAAATTATGTTACAGAAGAAATAAAAGACTGAAATAAAAAGACAAACAGCAAACTTTTATAACTAAAATAATTTAAAAAAATTCAGTCTTATTTGAATTAAATAGCACATTAAAATGGCGAAAGTTAGCGTAATTTTATCAAATAAAATCACTGTTAATTAATAATTATTGCTAATTTTTGATCATAAAAAGTTATGAATTTTGACCAAAAAGCGTGCACTAGTGGTTTCGAGCATATAGCTTAATTTGCATATTATCCACACTTAATGTGGTATTACTTCATTGTGATGGGCCCTATGTAAGAGTAATACTCCTATAAACAGTGAAAAATGCATTATAATTATTTATTTCCAGTCCAACAAATGAAGAGAAGATGAATTTGACCATTTTATATACGTTGCAATCACGCAAAGTTTTAAACTGACGGAAAGTAATGTTGGAACGAATGTTAGACTGCAAATATGCCTATTAATTTATGGAATTATCAACAAAAATTAAATGAAATACAATCCAACTTTAAAATAAAACAATTCTTTCTCCCGCGCGAATTTATGATCAGAAGTATAAGCCGGACTCATTTTTATTAATACCAGAAATTTTGACTACGAAATTGACATGTATATTTTTGAAAAAAAACTATACCAAAATCACATTTACTAATTCATTACGATTTTTTCTGTTTAAAGGAGCACTTTTGCTAAAGTAGTTACTGAATTCACAGTGAGCATAGCTTTCAAAGTAAGAAAATAAAGATTCAAGACAATTTTAGCATCATTTTATTTTTTAAGAGTTTAGCATAGTTTTTTAAAATTTTGGATTTTTTTTAAGATTCAAGATTATGGCATCATTTTATTTTGTATTGCTGTTAATTACATATATGTATTGTATCATTCTGCATATTTTGAATTTAAATTTTTTGCATGCATGCTTTAGGATGAAGAAATAAAAAAGAAATGTGATTTTATTAAGCAATCAAAATTTTTGAAAATATAAAAACGTATGCATATGAAACAAGCTATACCAATATAATTAGTTAGATAGGTGCTGATTTTTGTCGTAATATTTACCACATTCTAAAATGCGTATAATAATGTGAGTAAAGATACTACGTCAATAGCAACTATATGAGGACGTGAATGAGAATTACAAAATTATTAAGTAAAAATTTAAGACTTGAACTAATATGAGTAATAAAAGCAGCTAAATACAATAAGACTGAGCTGAATAATTAATTACTCTCTATGAAATAATCGTCTATGAATTCTTAGTTAAGTGAAAAGAAGCACAAAGGCAGGCATCAGAGAAGGGGACGACACGACACGACGACAACTGCCTGCGTGATGGAAAGAATGTACGCCGCAGCGTCCGTGCGTCAGCTGTCGTTCATTGCTGCCATTGAATGGACTATTTCCCTTACATTCCTTTCGTTATTCAACGTGCCATATAGTCCTCTCTTTTGCTTGTTTTCCTCACTTTTTATCTTCACAAAAACCAAAAACTCTCTTAAAGATTGATTTTACGACGACGACATTAAACGCAAACGAATAGTCAATCAAAGTCAGTAAATTGCTCACTCAATCGCCGTTATTTGTTAACGAATCGTAATGCTTTACTTTTTTTACACTTTGACATTTTTACGTCTATTACTGACTTACTCTTGCTGACATTTTTTGCTCTATTTTAGATCAGTTCAGATCAGATCAAACGAATGTAATGGACTTCATTCGAACGTTCCGAAACTACTTTCTTCTTCGTGCCATCTAATCCTTTTTCACTCAAGTCTGTTCTCTTCGTTTGTACTCATTTAGCTGTGTGCCTTATAATCGGATTAATAATCCTTCTCTGCAAAGTTAAATACTCGGCACTTATTAGTATTGTTCTCTATTAAGTGTCTGATATTCTTCTTTCTATATTCTCCACAACCCAATTCAAAGGCTTGCAATTCCTTCATTTCCCGCCATGTGTCATCTATTTCCCACTAATTCCACTATTCTCTCTTCACTAATGCAAATAATTCTCGCGCAGACATCAACTTGTATTAGTGATATTGAGTCAAAATGTGATGTATTCAAAAGTAATTGCCACTCGACGAGTTTATAATAATGTTTGTTTCGAGCAACTTGGGAATACAGTACTTTACAATGTATTTAGGCAAAGAATCAAAGAACCTTCATTCTTTTTCGTTCTGATCAATCAAAAGATCCAATGAACTGGTTGTATCTTCACGAGTTTTCCATTTAAAATAATAACATGAGTAAATTATACTTTGATGCCTTGTTGTTGTCTCGTATTTATTGCAGACAGCAAATTTAAGTTTTTCGAGTCTGAAAATCGTGTGGAAAAAAATTAAAAGTCATCTGAGGAGTAATTTTCAACAGTGTCTTGCGTGTTTCCAACACATCTTGCTTAATTTTAATGATAGATTCAATGAGTCATTATTTAAAATCATATAATTCACATTTCTTTTTATAGCACTGTTTTATGTAAAGCAAGTTTGAAAACTAACGAAATCTCTAAAATTACTGTCTGCTCTTGAAGAGTTTAAAGAAGTTCCAGGTAGAAGCACGAAAATTATTGTCTTGAATCGGAAATTGTGTCTCATTTCAATTGCAACAAAAGTATTCAACAAAACTGTAGTTCTAATTACAGTTACAATGATTAGTTCAAGGTAGGAAGCCTGTTGGATTCTGGTTAGTTGCATAGTTTCTTACCAGAAATTTCACAGGTTGCAGTAGAATTTTCATAAACATTGTCATAAGGATGGGGCAAAGAATCTTTCATCAGCAAATATTCCTGTGCTATAAGCTTTTGACTTTGGTGAAATTATCTAATAAGGTGAAAAGTAACAGTATATTTCGCCCTGACTCCCGCAGCATTGCTTCGGAATTGATCAGATTGATCTTATTTCTTCTAATTAGTTGAAAATAAAGGGGAAAAGGTCGTTTTGAAGAAGAGCAAAAACTGTGATATAGGTCTTTTTAGGTCGGTTACTTAATTGAAGAATAAAAAACTGCAACGAAACATACGAATGAAAGATATTAAGGAGTGGATATGATCTATAAATCACTTTTTTCAATAATGAATTAATTGCTGGAGTACATTCTTAATTTCTTACAAGGACAATATGAAGTGTAAAAGATTGGCAATTTTTTGACATGTGCTGGAGATTAAATTTTGTCATGGACAGGAATTGTGCATAAAATAGCTGCAATTAACAATATGCGTGCATTGGGGTATCGCTGCAATATTATTCATTAAGTATATGTAATGACTTCCTACATTTATATATCCACTTATATTCATGTGAAATCGGACATGCAGTTGCGGAAACGCATTTCCGAAAGATTAGAAATATATTTAAAAGGATCAGAAATAGCAAGCATTTGAATATGTAAAAGCAAATATATTATTTGTTATGAACACCAGCTAAGTTCAGCTGTTTCTTTGAATGATAACTAAGCTTAATTCCGGAATGATCATTTCTTTATTCAGTTTATTGTTTATTATCTCAGAGTTGTTGAAAATGTGTACAAAGTAACTTCATATACTTGAAAGAATAAATTCCACTTCACTTATTATCATTCAAATAGTTGAATTGAGATAGATAGAGTTGATAATATATTAATGTGCCTGCAGTGAGACTAACTTTTGATATGAAGCAGTTTCAGTGTGGCAAGTGGCAGAAGGTGAATTCCTTAGGAACATAAGTATAAATGTATTGAATCATGAATAAGAAAACTAATGAAAATATTTATTTTAAGTATTAGTTTACCGTCCACGCCAAATTTGTTACAATGACTTAGTGCACTGTTGATCGGTACAGCAATACCTGATTTATACATTTATCACCTTGCGCATCAATTTACACCAATAAAAATTGAGATATATTTATTATAATTACAAAAATCTTGAAGTTCATTATAATGTAGAGACTAATTTTGTTCCAGTTTTACTACAAAAGTGATTTGAATTTTTCGATCTGAAAGCATTCACCATTATAAATACTAAAAACTCAGAAATTTTAGTCTCTTTCGCTATGCTTTAACATTCAATATTTGAACATAAAAAAGCAATTTCCCACACAACGTTTATCAAAGTTTTGAACAGCTTTTTTTAAAGATTTAATCGAGTTTCAAAAAAAAAATGAAACTCAGAAGCGGATTAAAAATACGAAATCCCCTCTACGCAAAAAGTGATCAACGGCTTCAGTTAGAAATTTACCTGCAGAAATCAAACAAAAACTTTTACCACAAAGTTTATCACAAGAATGAAAGCATAACAATGAGAAATTTTAAAAACTTTAAATAGAAAGTTAACAACAAAAAACTACTCTTAGTCTAATATATATTAATCATGAAAGACGAGTCAGAATTTACAAACAACTCCAAGTCTAACCACCAATTTCGTCATCTTCTTCATTAACATCCAGCCTATTTCGCGGCAAAAATATATTATAATGTTGCGGCCAAGAAAAAGCGTTTGATTTAAGCGCACTGCTGAAACCTTCATCGTTTTCTCTATTTATTAGCGCGCTGATTAGTCGTAAACCAATCTGTAACCAGGTATCTATCAGCGATCATTATTTTTGTAGTCACTAGACGAATAAACTATATTAACTGTAATTTCTTGTCAATTCCACGAAATCTACCTACAATTTTGATTGCAGAACTCCACAGCTCCTTCCCTACATTCAAATGCATTGTATTTCGAATAATAATTTAGAAAAATGCATAGTTATCAATGAATCTTAATTCCTAAGTGTTCAATATATTATACTGCCTTAAATGTATAACATGAAATAAAGTTGAAATATAAGTGCAGAGGTTTAATACCTTAATAATGCTTTTACAGTTCAAGAAAAAAATAGGACAAGTGAGCTAATATTTACAATCCATTTTATAATTAATAACTGAAACAACTCAAGTCTAATCATTAAAGAGTCATACAGAGCAGTACGACAATTGTAATCATTGTAAATAATTATCTTTAATGCAAAAAAAAGAATTGTACATGACAAATAAATAAATTCAACATAAGCATAGTTAGCAGTTTCAATAATCAAACATAAAGCTTACAATGAATGTTATTGTAGCCACACCAACTCTGATATATTTTTGGCTGACAGGTTGTGGGTCCCGCATTGACAAAGTGTCCTAAAAGCCTGTTTTTATGTAAAACAAAAATGATCACAAATGTAACGCTAATGCGAAATAAAAAAAACTTATAAGTAAAAACTCACGTAGTTTATGGGTCGCTGCGACGAATTTGCTGTAGCAAAGTTACAATTATGAAAAATTCCATTAATTTTTGATTTTAGACTCCACGAACACGTCGGAAGTCTTCGAAACATCTAAAAGTATTATTAAGGTTAATTGTTCAATTATTAGGACTCCTTCTATTTGTGATTATTTTAATTGAACTGTAATATACCGAAAAAAAATCACAACTAATTATATGAGTGTAATGATTAGTGATTGTGCAGGTTTCTCGCCCAATTTGTAGATTTTTTTTGAATGTTTCTGAATTTCTGGATAGGATGCATAGCAGATAATGAAAATTAATAAAAACATAAGGCCACGAAAAAACAAAATTGAAGTGCACACTCCGACGAAAATCGCCAGCTGAAAGTCGTTAGATTAAGACTACCATTAAACTCGCACGCAATTTTCTGAATTAAAGTAATGAATTTTAGTCTAGAATTCTTTGGTTAATTCTATCCAGGTTATGGTTCAAAATGCAACAATTTAAAGAAAATTGTTTGAATAAGTGTGCTAGAAGCTAAACAGCAAAGAATGATTGAATGCATTTTAATTAATTAGTTTATGCATTAACTTATCATTTAATTAAATAATTTAATTATTGCAAATTGCCATTTGAGTGTCAAAAAATACAGCTTTAAAAAATATGGTGACGAAAATATTTCTTAGATCGTCACAATTCATTCAAGAATTTTTAGTAATAATCAAAGTGCCTAAAACAAATTCTAATTCATTATAAGCATCACTTGATGTTTTATCGTTCCATTTAATTGCTTTCGAAAAGAAATAAAATAATTATTATTACGTGTTCTTATCTTTCTATATTACCAGTGGAAAATAAACTACTTTTTTCAAAGTAAATTGCAGGTACTTAATTTAATTACTACAGTAGTAATTTTTTCATCCTTTTTTCAGTTTTTTGAGCATTTTCAAAAATTTTATAATAAAGTTGTAAAAATTCTCCCAAAGGATATTTTAATTCTTGTAAATTTTATGCGTATTGTCGGAGGTAATTCGATTTTGTTTATGTAAATTTAAATTAGAACTTCAGAAACTTGTGTGATTTTGCCACAAATATCGTATTCAAAGCAGTATCATATCGTTTTTGAGTTTCATTCACTTCCTGTTTAAATTCCTAGATAGGAATCTATAGCACTACGATGAAAAAGAACTGCAGCAGTTGTAAATTCGTTACAAAAATAGAGAATAAATGAACCAGAGCACATTATATATTTGATGAAACAATGAAAATTCATTTAAAAAATGCAAATTGGCATTGAAAACTTATTATTTCAATTTGAGAGCACTGAATTCTAGAAAAAAGTTTGTGAAGGTATGAAATAATAAAAATTAGAAACTTTATTATTCACTAAACAAAAGTCACTTCACTACTGGTGTCTTCCTTAATTTATGTCACACAGAAAAGATGACGTAGATTCAAAAATTCGCAGATGCTTTGTTTGAATAGATAATTCCTCAATCTTGGAATTTGATAATGACAACAATTGGAAAAAAATAATTTTCTTGCCTACAAAAAGTATTACAAAAATTCAATCTCGAAGTTCGTTAATTTCTAGTATTTCAATAATTGTACTCAAGAAGTATTTATTTGATCTGATTTGTTCTTCACAACAAAAATTTCAATGATTCGGCAGTTTCAGAGAGAAAACATTATGCATAAAAACTAAGGCATATTGGTGAGTAAATAATTGAAAAAACAAAATTCTTGAATTTATTTCGTTATTTCCAGAAGAGATTGCTCCAGCAGAAGGCACCAAAATCTCACTGAAGTGATTGATGCAATATTAAAACTGTTTGACTTAACAGGAAATCAGTCGGTAAATTACATTATGTAACTGTTATAATTTTGTTGTTTCATGCAGGCAAAATTCAAAACAATAGATAACTACCAATCACTGTTTTTCGATAATAATAATTAACAGTAAAATATCAATAAATGAGCACCAATAACGGTAACAATAATTGTTATAATAATAAAAAACGAAGCATTAGTAATAGCTGCAAGTAATCAGATGTTTTACTGTTCTTTAGGATGACGCAACTGCTTTTATATAATTTTACTAATTACATCTCATAATTACATTTTGAAAACTTTTTTATTTATTATTCGCTAACGCCTAAGCATTTGCTTCGGCATTCAGGAAAAATTCCATGCAAATTGAAGTATTCGAACTTCTGTGATAATTTTAATGTCATAATTGTGCTTATATTTACTCGCGTTATCAAATTCCTTGCATGAATGTTTGCATAGCAATTTGATTTTGACTCTGAAATCGTTGTCATTCTCTAAGCTCGATAGCACTTTAGGTTTCAATTATTTTTTAGCCAATTTCTTAAATTCAAGCTTGACCCCGTGCTCATGACCCTTAGAAATGTAGTCTCTTATGTGGTGTCTTATAATAAGATAATTCAAGACCAAGTAAACGCGCTTCATATCCATAAAATAATCCGATATACTCATTACTCTATGTAAGAACATTTTATAATATTTTTTATGAATTAAAAATAATGGGTGAAAGCAAAATTTATATTTAAAGCAAGAGACGAATTCATTGTTAGTTTCAGCCAAGAAAAGTTTAATCAGAGTGTTTCTGCTAGCGCCATCAGAGAGAATTCAGAATCTGCAAGGTTCTTCAGAAAAACAGATTATTGTTGACAATGAAAATCATCGCAAGAATGCTAGCAAAATCGATTTCTGTTCTAATTTTCATCAAAATCCAATCGGTTCACTGCTAGAAATTTTTGCGAAACGAAATGAAATAACTTCTTAGCGCTTACTTGCTCGCATGCAATGAAACAAATTAACGAAGTAGTAAGTCGTCATTCATTTTAATTCAATTTTAATATGAGTTAATGCATGTAGCTGATTTGATATACTGTGATTCATAATAAGAAATGACTGCAAATATAATACTGACTACTCTATTCACTCGCTTATTAATGCCATTAAAAATGTCTATTCTGTGTATATAAGATAAAAGTTGCTGTTCCAAACATATTATTCACTTCATTATTTCGTTTTCTTTAGCAAGTATTCGAATGCTTGCTCACAGTTGCTTGTTTTATTGCTACGACTTGCAGAATGAAAGTTAAATGAGTGCATACGAATAAATATATCATTTTTTGTTTATAGAAATATATTCATATATATGAGAAATGTTTTCTCGTGTTAATTCAAAACGGTCAGCAATATCACTTAGAAACTAAGCTTTTTCCTATTTTGTGCTAAATCTTAAAAACTAACTATAAGAAATTAGAGATGCTAAATAATCAAGAATTATAATAGATAACGCAAAATAATCAGTGGATTACTTAACTAATAAAATAGTTATATTTTATGATGAATTTCAAGAGCAGAGAATAGTTGAAATGAATGGCAGATGCTTATTTAGCTTAATAATAGAATTTCTGATGCATTTTTCATTTTCTTTCACTTCTTCTCCTCGTTTGCATAAAATTTAGGAATAAATTCGTAAATATAAGAACATCTGCTTGACATTTGTAGTATTTTGCCATCCTTTAAAGTTATTATCGAATTATTATATCTTATATAATCCGAGCCTACTGATCTACTAAGCCTAAGCTCAAATCTAACCTTTCTGTCAAATTTAAGACTGAAACTTCAGTTTCGCATGCTGATATTCATTTATTTGCGCTCTAGAAGATGCATTTTTTTATCGTGCTACATCTAATTCAGTGTTTAATTTGCTTAAACTTTTTCATTATATTAGAGATTATTTTTGGATATAAATAACTCTTTTCAGTAACTTCTACATTCTGGACAATTCACGTGTACTTTGGTATGAGTAATGCCAGTAATACTTTACACGGGCTTGACCATCAGGTTGGCTTTTTTCTATTTCTAGCTGCATACTGCACTTTATTTACGCAACTTTCAAAATGTTAAGTATATTTTTATGCGTTATAACTGCTTTCACTATTTTGTCTTATCATCAAAAAAATATGTGAAACCTAGACAATGTTTCCTACCGGCAATAATGCAAATAACCCAATTTTATTGTGTATATGAGTGTGTGAATGAGTATGTAATGTGTATGTGTATATGTGTATATATGTGTATATATGTGTGCGTGTGCGTGTGTGTGTGTGTGTGTGTGTATCTATGCATCTGTGCGATGCCACAGCACAATTGGCCAAGGGTGCTTTGCTGTGCTAGGCCATAGATTCTTCTTGTCTGATGAATTTTGTCTTTGGGAGTTAGTTTTGCACAACTAAAGAGATATCACTTTATTGTGTCTCTCAATTCAGAATTTGCTACTGTTGAAGGACTCAGACTTGACCATCAATCTATGTATCTCAAAAGAGTCTCCGTTTATTATCCTCATTGTCATCGTAATAGTATTTGATCGTATGTCTACAGCAAGATTTTTTGTTCTAATTAGAATTACACTCTTGCATGGCATGTTGAGAATGTAAGAACGAAAGTAGTACTTACTGGTCCTGTGCTGCTCTAATAAAGTGCTTCAAGTAGAACAAGAAAGCTATAAAAGTGATGTAATTATAGCAATCATTTCGATATAATAGTACTTGATATACGTAAGTTATCACTGATGAATTGATATTTGTGAGATCTACACTTGCGAGAAGAAAATAAACAAATAAAAAGCCCTCTATTCTATAAATAAAAATTATATATGAAATAATTGTCAAAAAAGTCTTATCAATAAAGGTCAGCGACATTATTTAGTAGCATTGTAAAGGTCACTTTGCTTCCTCAGAAGATCTGGCATTTTTTGTGCAATTAATTATCTTTATTAGCAGCAATAGCAGTACCAGTTTGTGAAGAGAGCTATCAAGTGGTCAACACTCAGTGCCTGACCCCTGGCATATGTCCATCAGAGCTTCAGACTAAACGATTGATTTTTTTTCCTTCTGCTTTCTATCACTTTTCTTTTCCGCACCTTATCAGCACGTTGCGGATGCGTTCATCTCGCGACTGAGTCTTTGATATTACCCTAGCATAGGCATAATTTTCTCGTGATAGCAATATTTTTTGTGTATGTAACGTTTTTTATATTTTTTAAAGCAGTACAGATTTTGCGACTTCGTTTATTAATTTATACGTCTCCTAAACATATTTAAGTGACAGAATTCTTCCAAGTGCTACTCAGTTTTGTTATTTTATTAAGTTGTGTGATTCTTGCCAGAATTTTTCTTTTATTTTTTTATAAAACAAGTTCACAGTACATACAGTTTTCAAGGAAATATTCGCATTCAATCATCGTTTTGTCATATTTTACAAGTGTTTCTTGATGAATCTCTTAGTTTCTCTGAAGACATGAGCAGTTAATCTCAGAGGAGAAATTTATAAACTGACTGTGCATGATGAGATTTTTTTTTAAACAAATATATTTCATTCTTTTAGCTTTGCAAAAAATATGTATAGAAAATACATGCAAGAAGCAATAAATGTCTTGCTTGAATTAGATGACATGAGGTCAAATGACCTTCACAAATAGGCCGTAGTCGAAGAAAGCAGAAGTAATTCAGCACTGCAGTTACATCAGTTTCTGTACACTTTTTCATTCTTGAAAAAAGCAAATTGTTGGTTTTTATCACATTTTTTGTAGTCGTTTCAAAAGAGAGTACAAGAATTAATTGATACGCTTTGATTGTACCACTCACTTTCATTTTTATTTTCACAAATTTGCATATTCAATTCGATAAAATTTTTTTGCCTCTTGAGGGATTAATGCTTGAAATATTGAAGTTTGAAATATTTGTAACTTTCAACTAATTATTACTAATCTGTCAAGTAAAGCAAAGGGCTTTCTTTCCGTTAAAATTAATTTTTGCCACAACAAACCGTTTAATTATCCCTCAGTTTCTTTCATTTGCAGATTTTAGTCCCTCTCTCATCTAATATAAATATTTTGCTAATTTATTTTTCACTCAGACTAAAAAATCTGTCAGAACTGATTTGATGGATATTTGCAGAAGTGTGCTTTAAATATGGTAAGAGTTTTCATGTTGAAAGTTACAAATATTTTGTCTAATATCTTTATGTATATTTAAGTTTTTAGGTATTTAAGTATTACATTAATTAATTCCTAAGCAAAAACTTTCAAGTATAATTATGCGATTCTTTAATGTAAATGACTGAGATGTCTATCAAAATTGTAACTAATTGCATTTGAAAAAAGTTATCTCTTAAAGTAATGCCAAAAATTTTGAACTGCATTTATTAACTTTTTATTTTTAAGTTCCGAATTTATGATATAATATTTTGTCGGTACTAAATTTTATCTTTCATTAATGATTACTACTTCATGGATGCATGTGAAAGTAATTTTCGCATTTTTTTTGCATTATAAATTATTTCTTTTTTCAGCGTTAAAATTTGCAAACCATTTCCCATACAATTTAATTTTAATTTACACTATGTACGTACCAATTCAGTCTCTCAATGATTTCTTGTTAATGTTTGTCGAATACAATCCAAGCCTACTTTTATTATTACAGTTCTTTCTTTTGCAAAATTTAATTGTCAGCTTTTGATTTTTTTTCGATCATTAAATTCCGCAATTTCTGTCACTAATATCTCAATATTTTACAAATTTGCGTTAATGTACTAACATTGAATAGTATTAAATTGAGCGAATTGATAAGTCTGGCGGCTGCCCTACAGCTCATTACAGTTTTGTAGCCAACAAACTGTTTCATTTCATTGACCTCTTGATCTGTTTGATCTCCATATGTTCATTGATGGTAGATGTTATATGGGACAAATTTGTTGCTTTGTAAGTTTTTTCAGCGTTTTTCATAATATGAAGAATAATGCTGTGCTATTAAAAGTTTATTACTGCTTTTGTAGGAGATCAGATGTGACGACTGACTTAAACTTACTATCTTTAAGTACTTTGGAATCTAACGAATTTCATATCAACTTGAATTTAGGAATGAAATTTAGTACCCGTTCGTGTATCACTTAAAGAAAAAACATTCTGAGAGAGTTAGTCTCTTGTGCCAATTTATATTTTGAAAAAGTAATAAAGTCTTATGACTTTTGATATTTAAAATTTACTTAATATTTTTAAAATTCTCCTGTTTTTATTGTTTTTATCATGATAAGGTATGTTTTTGAAACGTCTATTATTCTTATTTGATCCGTAAAATTTATTTTCGTTCTTGCAGTAGATAGTTGCTGAAAATCTGTGGCACATTTGAGTCAAATTTCGCTTTTTCTTTTACAGTCAAACTATCAAAAATCATGAAAATAATACAATTCCACCAACCAAAACATATATATATAATCCAATATTCATTTACAAAATCGAAGATTTTGCGTGTAATTCACTCACGTAAAGTTCAAGTTCCGATAAAAATTCAAAAAATACTTATGAAAGCTGTAAATTACTACCAAAGTTATTATATGATATTAATTTCCAATCTCCAATGCTTGAATTGAAGCAGATGTGTTTGTATTTGTGTTGTAAACGTTTTGCAGCTCTTGCTTTAAAAACCATTAGCTGAAAGTGTGCATTGCATCATTACAAACTTTCATTTTGAATCAGTGCAAAAATATTACTCATCTATTTTTTTGAAAGCATTGAACAACAATCTTTCTGCCATCATTGACCAATTCTGCTTGTTAAACTTTTTGCTCAAAATATTGTGAGGTATTGAAATTAGCTGATACTCGCTCTATCACCTTTCTATTATTTATTATTGAAATGTCATAAGTCCAAAATTTCTGAAGTTTGATTCCTTCACAATGCTTCTTTATTTCTACTTGATCATTATAGTTGCAAATACGCTAGCTAATAAGCTAACTATTGGAATTTGTTTTCGATTGTCAATCATTTAGCTTTCTATTATGAAAACTCGATGTTATGCAGCAAATTCAGAATTTTTTGCGGGAAGTGAAAAATTTGCTGCACAAATAATTGGTACACGTAAAAAAGGACAAAAAATAGTGTTGTCGAGATATTCTTTTTCTACGTGGTCTAGTAAATGCTTTATGAGTCGAAAGGCTGGAAATCAGTCGAGCAGTTCTGATATTCCGGACAAAAGTGAATACTAAGAGTTATATTATGCAGGCTTCTCATCCACATCTGCCCAAATCAAGAAGTTTCAAGCGAAACAGTGTTCGAGCCCTGAAAAATGCTCATCAACCACCAGGAGGTCTCGAGATGATTCTGGCGTCAGTTGATGAATCTCTGCAACTACTTTCGGATTTAACTAACAATACGGTTGCTAGTAGTCATTGTACCAATGAAAATGAAGATTTGCACAAACTCGGATCCATACCTAATGCTGATTTTCCCTTCATTGATGATTATGATGATAACGAAGATGCTGCAAACATTTCTAGCACAAAACCTATTAATTCTGGAGAAAATACCAACAGTTTTTGTGATGAGACGCCAGTTTCATCATCAAAAATAGTGAATATTGATTTAACTGGTGAAGAGATTATCCAGTGGATGGGTGGCTTACCGATACTTAATCCGGACAAGATGTTAGCTTATTTTTGTAAGGGAAGTCGATTAGAAACCAAGAAGAATTGTCAGCGAGAAAAGCCATACCAAATTTTCTCACTCAGTCGGCTTCAGGAACCTAAGAAAGATGTAATTTGGAGCATGAATCTAATCCATGAGGTTCGTGTAACTTTCTTGCAAATTGGTGTCACTGAAAATGGCTTAACGAAAATGGCTTAACGTCTTTTTGTAATATTCAATTTTATTATGTTTGCTTACAAAATGGCAGACAAGATTTTGAATTATTCCTTCTTAAAATTTGTCAGCAAGGATTAAACAACTTCATCTTCGACCTTCTGCTATAACAGCGTAACTATTTAGTTAAATTAAGTAAGTCATATAAAGTAGATTCCACTTTTACAAATTGTACTGTGTTGACGATCAATTCATTAATTACTGATTAAATTTTAAAATTGATGGAATAAAGTGATAGTGTGTTTGTGTGATTGAAGAAGAAAATGTTTTTCATCAATTCTAAACTAAACTTTTTGCATGCGCTTGAAATTCATTTCGTTTAGTTATTGACTAACAAGTTATGGGTCAGTGCTTGTTCAAGGTCATAGTAAAGTTCCAAGATAATAATGTTACAAACAGTACTAGTGAATTACGATGATTGTAGCCACGGTTGTTTATGATGAAGATACTGATAATGATGGTAGTTTAGATCAAACTGAGTAAGCAGTAATAGAATATGCAAATATTTGTGTTGTAATTACATAAATATTGATCCAAAATATGAAATTAATACAGCAAATTGAAGTAGGAAAAGATTTGTTTTTATTTTTTTAAGAAATAAACTTATTATTGCATTATAAATACCTTAACCTACTAACTTGTCGTTAATAATATTTTGACTTACTAACTTGTGGTTAGTAATACTTTAACCTACCAACTTGTGGTTACTAATATCTTAACTTACAAATTTGAGATTTTATGCATATATACATCGCAATTTGCTAATTAAAATTTGCATAATAATAGAAGGTATGCGATAGCGTGTATAAATGTATACGTTCAATTGCTGCGGTCCTAACATTTATTTTTGTGTGCTGGAATTGATGAAGAGTAATGCATGGTATTCAATGTGCAAGCGTGAATGTATATGATCACATTGCATCGTAGGTGCCACCACAAACATAAAGCATAATTTTATAATATAAAATTTGCTTGCTTCTCTCACTGCAACAGAATCTAGACTTACGAATTGATCGCTCCTCACTTACAAATATGCGATTCTGCTATTCATTCTTTGAAGGATTGTCGCACTTCGTCTGAGACAAGCAATTACTTCAGGAAACAAAATTAAATACTTCTCGCGCTATTAATAATGAATTGTGTATGTGTTTTATCTTGATATTTTGCTTCAGTAAGATAAAGCGCTGATTATGATTGCACCGCAGCTAGCCAGTATGATTACTTAGTAACTATTAAGTCACGCTATATTTGAATTTCGTTCACTTTCTTATAGTTATTTTACTTATTATTGTTATGTGTGCATCATGTTGGTATGGTAAAATAAGATCTATTTGTAAATAATTACTGATAATGAATATTTAATTCTTATAAGTGCAGACGTGCTGACGTGTGATACTTAAGTTTTTGACGAAAAAAAGTTTTTATTAGTTAAAAATCACCGTTTATACTTTAATATTCAGTAATAAAGGTATAAAAATTTGAAATTTAAATTTCGTTTATGCAAACATTTATTCAACAGAGCATTCTTTTTCCTGTTTGCGTAAAAATAAAATGTAACTGAAACAAAAGCGACCAAATTCCACCTCAGTCTCAACCGAAAATCCTATTTTTAGTCCTAAAATTTATTCTACAAACTTCTGAATAGAAAACTTGCTATGCCCTAACTTATACTAATAATTAGCTAGATGAAAGTACCAGAATAATCAGAAATTCTGCTCAAATTTTGATATAGTTCTTGGCAGAAACTGTTCGCCACCTCAGTCTCAACCGAAAATCCTATTTTTAGCCCTAAAATTTATTCTACAAACTTCTGAATAGAAAACTTGCTATGCCCTAACTTATACTAATAAATAGCTAGATGAAAGTACCAGAATAATTAGAAATTCTGCTCAAATTTTGATATAGTTTTTGGCAGAAATTGTTCGTTTAAATTGTACTGAATTTTTTAAAGTTTGCAAAATAAAATTACCTCTTAGTTTTGCTTTAACGTGAACAAACGTATTATCACGTCGCAATACTAGTCACGAGCATGTGTTCCACATGTAGCATTTATTGCCAAGTAACGATTTTTTCTGGTATCTCAGTTTAATTTTACTTAATTTCGACATCACAGATGTGTCTCGTTGCAATTTTTAGCAGCTTCTATCACGTATCTAAAAAGGCGTAACACATCTCTCTAAGCCTCTCTCCCCTTGTCAAACGCATTTCACACAACTCCCACATCTCTATCTCACTCTCACATTATTGTCTGATTGCTCCTTTTGTAATTAACTTCCAGAAAATACTCACTCACATTTGGCTTTGTTAGCAGCTATGAACTGTAACTGTGCTTCTTTAGTTTGCTACAAACTGCCGAAGCGAAAGGTTTGTTGGCGTTGTTTTGTTTTCTCTGCGTGTTAGCATTTTTGGTGATTTTTGGATAGAAAAATTAGCTAAGCTTAATTTATTTCCTTTGCATAATCTTTTGTCAATTAGGAATACATTTAAAAAGTATTGCTAATTACTTGCGTATATGTAAATTGTCCAGTAGTTTTTATGCCATTTGGTTATGCAATTGACTTATTGCTTCCACGTACGACCTTAAAAATCATATTGTTAATATGATCTATGTGGATTTGAACTATAGTCTTAGTGAATAGTATCGATGTTTTAAAGTTTCGTGTTTTTGACGTAAATGTAGTTTGACAATGACATAAAACAGTGAGCACTAAGGCTTTTTAGTAGTGATTTCATCATTTTTCTAGAAGTTTCTTCTGTAATACGGCTTGCGTAATCATTTTAAATCGATCAATTTCCTCTAAGCTTTTCCCGAATATCCTATTATTACTGCTCTTATTACTATCTTATTAGTATTACTATGTTACGTCTTGCTAATGTAGTAGATGTCTTGACGTAATTTTCATATTTGTAGTCCACAGTACCAAAACTTTCGTTCTAACGATTTGCGAATAAGCTAGTAAGAAAAAAAGAATTGAGAATTTATGGATTATTTCTCGATTGTTGTGAATTTTGCCTAGTTAAATATTATTCATGAGTGTGACTTTAAATGGAAATAAACACGGCATTTCAGTGATACATACGGAATAGTAGTCTTCTGTGCAAATTCGGTTGTTCTCTAGCGTGTAGATTTAATGATCATTGTAAATTTGGCGTGACATATGATGTTTAGAGAAGAATTACTTATTTATAAAATATGGCGATAATATCAGCATATTACATCTCTGCAAATTCACAGTTCTGTGAAGGATGTAGTTTAGAAATAGTGCAGCTTGTTAAATTCGGAAGCATTAAATTCAGAAGATTTAGTAATTAATTAACTTATAGCTTTCTTAAGAAACTCTAGCAGGTACTCTCGTATTTCAATATACCTATTAAATTATGGATATCACACAGTGGATTTCAACTAGTATTTAAAAAATCTCGCAACTGTTGTGGAATTTCACAGTTATGTGATTTTAAAAAATGGGATTTGGAAGAATTCTGAAGGTATTAACATCTATGCATTGGTGTTTGATCTCGTTACTTTTAAATTGCAACCATCTTTTATTTTAGCTATTTCTAAGCAAGAAATCAAAAACAGCAAATTGGTCTGGTACTTCTGCATCAAGAGAATTGGAAGTAAGTGATAGCTGCGCGATACATTCAAAAAAGGTTAATCTGCATTTGTTAGATCACATAAATAACAAAACATTCCTTTGATGTGTTTGCTTTATCAAAATAGAAAGTAATGGTTACAGAGATTGTCTTATTCCATGAGTAGCAGTTTATGGCTTTCTTGGTCAGGCACTTATAATTTTTGTGTCTTTAATGATCCTATCAGATTATTATTTCGAGTAAAGTAATTAATTAATTTATGTATTATTTATTCGTATGAAATGTTAGGGATGCAGAGACAGATAAGTTTGCTTTGTAGTGGAACATATTTAATGAGTGCAATTATGTAGAAATTATTTTTTGGAAATTTGACGTACACTGTATGTCTAAATATTCTTCACCTCGTTATCTTGAATATTAGTAAAAGAAACTGAAGGATTAAGAATTATTCATTCCATTTTTGCTTAATATTATTTACCGCATATGACACTGATATTAAGAATTACTGTTATGGAGAATTTTAGAATGAAATTGAACTGTGATAGTACTTTCATTTTATAGAAATGAAATGTGTAAGAATGACAGGAAAAAAAGTTCTAGATACAGTCAGAAGAAAAAGATCTCTTATACTAATCTAAAGTTTATGTAATGGTTTTTAACTAAATCAAATTTATGAGTTGTTTCAGCATATTGGATTTGATATTTTTCAGATTGAAACTTTGGAAACAAAGTATATTTTTAGAAAAGAAAATGCAAAAACAGAGAAATATATATGACGCATAATTTACTCTAGTTTATTTATGATGTTATTTTAAACATGAAAAATTTTTACTGATTTAATGTACATGAATTGTTCGATAAGAAAGATAAAACAATTAAATTCAAAGTTGCGAACTGGGAATTATTGCGGGTGAAGTTGAGTAAAAGTGATAGTTTAAAAGAAGAGTAAATCAAAACCGATCTCGAAATTAGTGTTTCTCAATTGACTTTTCCAGATTGTTTTAACTAGTTTCGTAAAAATGTGCGCTCTGTTCATTGCAGGATAGCCCTTGTGACCTAGAAACCAGTTGCGCTGACAACCTGGAACGGACATCGGTTCGTAGTATTATTGCCGGATATCAACAGCGGCAGTTTGCACCAAAACCATCTCCCGCTACTCAAGGTTAAACTTAACTTTGATTATTCGCTTTATAATTCATGTTTTTCGTTTTTACTGTTTAGAAGTTATATCGATTGATTTTGAACGTATATTTCATGAATTGATGCTGTAATCATGTTCATGGGATCTTTAGTTCCATCTACAATATCTCTGAAATGACTACTTATAGTGTTTTAAAAAGTGTCTTCTAATCACAAATTTCATCGCAGTGGATTTTGAAGCAGTTTCTGATTCCAGTTTTTCACGGGTCTCTAATGATAACCTCAAGTTTTCTGGAAATTTGATTTTTCTTCTGGTTGGCTCTTCGATTAACTCGTAACTAAGACCATGTGATTATTCACAGCCTGGTAATTTTGTCTGATAGCCAAGATTAGTAAAAACTTTACGATCAATTTCACATGTGATCATCCATATATGATGTTAAATGACTTGATTTGTATTTCCCAGAAATCCCATTACTTTGCGTTATGGAAAGCTCCCAATCTCAATTTGTATATCATCTTTATGCATCAATTCAAATTTCCTAGCGTTAAAAATGCTGTTAAAATCGAATTTGATATTTTTCGCTTTGAGACCCGCGTTTGGCGCCAACTATTTAGTTTGATTTATTCAAATATTAATCAGTTGGTAAGATTGTAGTTATGGTCGTCTTTAGTTTTGAATAACTTGAATTCATCCATTTGTGTTGTTAAATGTTTACAGGTATACCTGTAGGACATTGTCTGCGAGAGAAAGAAAAGATCAGCAGTCAGAGAACATTGATATCAGAAGCTGCTGAAGAGAAACACGACGTTGAAGCTCCTCTGTCTACAACAATTGAATCGCCTAAAGTTGCACAGAAATCTATTAATATGATGGAATCTAGAAAGCCAGTTGCGGTTAGTGACATAAGTTCAGTTAATTATAAAGTAGTAAAATTAGGAAAGTTCGTCAAGCTTTCTGTTCAGCAAACAATAACTTGTTTGGATTTCGTTATACCATTTTGGATGAGCTCTATAAATAATGAAGAGCTCATAGTGTTTATGTTCATATATTACTCTTTTGATACTTGATTACATCATTCAAAAGTTAAGGCGCCTCCGGCACCGCCACTACCTGTACTTCCGGGTCATCTGAAAAACTCGCCGTTGAAATTACTAAATGGTAATGGATGTGCGTTACCGACCTCGTCAAATTTTTCAAATGGTGTCCATAAGAAAGCTTCAGCTTTAACTCCTGCTTTAAATCGTGATTCTGGCAAGTATGAAGGGACAAATGCAAAGTTCAATGCGCCAAACATATCTTATGGTTCGTCATCAAGTTGCTTCCTACAACGTCTTTGCTGTTTCTGTCCTAACTCTAAGAAGCGTATACCTGTGGCAGGTTCGCCCTCTCTCACTGTGACTCGTGAGCATTAGCTCTCTTATGAATTTGATACTGCTGGCTGTAATACCTCCTCCAGTTTCCTTTTTCAGAATAATTATTTTCTTGTCTATTTAATGTGTTAAAAGACTGATTCTAGCATTTTTTTGAAAGATTAACATTGTTGGGATGCTCTTAAATAATCAGTTGTATCTGAGTGATCATTACCACATGTGGGATGTTACATGGTCTTAATCTTTTGGATATGCTGTGGTTGGCTGTCTAGGCCAAAAATATTTTTGCAGAAAAAAGTAAAGGAAGTGGACATGCTTCTGAAGAATATCGTACATTGAATTTGAATGGTCATGTTGGGTTTGATTCGCTTCCACATCAGTTGGTTCGGAAATGTACTGAACGAGGGTAATTTAACTGATATTTCAAATTATGTTGAAGAGTGGTAATAAGAAAACGAATGACAAACTGTCAGGATTATGATTGTTGAAGAAAGTATTGTTTAAAAACTAACAATTATGGGATCCATTCTTTTTTTTCGATTGTTTACGCTAAAAAATTTATAGGTTTCAATTCAATTTGATGTGTGTTGGTGAGACAGGTATGGGCAAGACAACTCTGATCGAGTCACTTTTCAATATGAAACTTGAGTTTCATCCATGCAATAATGAATTAAAGACAGTAGAGCTGCTTTCCAAAACCTATGGTACATCGTTGTGTTGGTATTATTAGTTCCAGTTACATATTTATGATAGCTTTAAAAAGTCTATGGTATTTATTTAAGATGTCGTGGAAGGTGGAATTCGGTTAAAACTGACTATTGTTGAAACGGCAGGATTCGGTGATCAACTTGACAAGGATAAGAGGTTAGATGTTTTTAAGGATTGAAAGTCATAATTTGCAGTTTATGTGCTGAGGATTATTCTTGTACGTTTCAGTGAAACAAAGTTCGATTGGGAACAATGAGTTAATAGTTTATAATAAAGATTATACAGAAAATGAAAACAATTTTATCCATATTCAAATTCTAGAATTTGGTGCTAAATTTCAACCTTATTAACTATTAGGTCTAGGTTTAAGTAAAAATATTCTAGATAATATCTTGAACCGAAATTACTGGACTTGTTATTAAATTTCAAAAATAAGTCAGCCAGTCAGTGGGGTTAAATGTTATTCCATCGTGTACACGTCCTTCATGAAGCAGTTATACCTAACTTTTGCAGTGCTCAGGTAATCGTTGATTTCATAAATGAACAGTTTGAAAATTATCTGAAAGAAGAACTGAAAATCAAGCGCTGCCTAGATTATTATGATGACACAAGAATTCACGCCTGCCTCTACTTTATATCACCTACTGGTCATGGGTAATTTTTATGCGTTTTTTTTTTGGAGTGTACGCAAGTGTTATACTTTAAAACACATCAAATATTGTGACAAACAACTTGATGACGCTTTGCAGCAGTTCAGTGTTTTTAATGAGTGAATTATATGTTGCTTATTGAGTTAGTTTTGTTCATAAATCTATTATATAACACGAACATTTTCTCAAATCTTATTTCAATGTTTTGCAAAGCAGTTAATCTAATTTGCAAACAAATTAGATTGCTTCGCAAAACTATATAGTAATTATTTAAAATTTGACTCTGTAGTTAGTGCACCTCAACCACACGTACCGCATGGCCGACCAATGTTGTGTAGAATAGGGTTTCATAATTTGTTAAAAAGTTTGAATGAGAAAACGGCGGTAAAATGTAGAAAATGGAAATGTAGATAGATGTAACATAAGATTAATTGTCTACGGTTGGGTGGAAAGGAAAGTGTTGAATCAAAACTAACTGGAGGAAGGAGTGTTGGAGGCTTGTTCTACAGCAACAATGCTCTTTGTGCTCCGTGGTATGTGCCTATCAATCCACTTGCTGCTGCCGCCAGCTGTTCTCCTGTCCTTGTGTGTCTTTCTTTGTCCGTACTGTGAGCACATTTTTTGTTGTGCTCTGTGCAAGCTCATTGCTTTATTCACCGCATCACTCTCCACATTGCCAAATCGGTTGTGCATTGTGACGTCTGCTCACATTCATCTCTTTGGTATTTTTTTAAAGGTAGTTGTTATTTACCAAGGATTCATCTCTTTTAGTTCCACATTTCCTTAGCAATACTCAAATGTGGTAGTTGGATTTATATTTATGTTCGCATTCCTATTTCAACTCTGTGCTAATTTACGCTGAAGAATGAAAATTCTTCCATACATCTACGGGATTTGTATTCCTACTAGTAGTCGATCGCTTGATTGCAATCGATTACTGATGGAAGCCACTCTGTTAGCGTAGATGTAGTCAGGTACATATGTCCATGGAGATTGATCGGTCATTAGTCTTCTTGATGTAGGTCAACGTTGATACCCACTGAAGTAGTAACTTCCTTCCAACCTACCAGTGAATATCTTATAATCAAGATAGGGTGTATCAGGCAGTTAAACATTTGCATTTATGTTGTGAAGATTTTATCTATAAAACAGTGTATGGTAGTACTTCTAATATGTTTGCTATATTATCCTTTGTTTTTTGTATCTTACAGCAGCATTCCAACTTTTAAATGCATTTGTTCTGTGGTTGCGCTGATCTTTCGTACTCTTTCTTGTTTGGTTCTTATTTGCGTTCATCAGATTCATAATCATTTGTTTGGTTCTTATTTACTTTCATCAGAACCATAATCATTTGTTCAGAGGAGGATGGGATTTTCGTAACACTAACTGTAGGGCATTAGTATCGGAAGTGATCTCTCCAGAGGTGCATGGCTTCCGAGCTCATCGGATGTTTTGTCGCTTTCGCGTATTAACCCTCAAATCATAGTTTCACTAATATTTTGTTTGGGCAGACGGCAAAAATTTTTGGCTTCTGAGCAGGCAAATTGTGTTGGGGATTTTAATAGCTAAAATCATATTAAAATTCTTCCAAGAAAATGTTATGAGATGAAGTAGACGTGAAATGTTAGAGCGCTTGGTGGAACAATTTTTTCAGGTCTGCATATTTCTTGTGCGTAAGAGCTTACATCTAGTTTTGTTTGTGGAAAGAAACAAAAGTTATTAAATGAAGGATACTGTTACTGCAAAGTTGTTTTTTTATAAAGTTTTCATTGCAATCAGTAAGATCATGTTGAAAAGTACTCTGTTGCTACTGATTTGTTCTTTCGTTGTAGTACTAATGCGTTTTAAGGAGTCATCATCTTAATGAGGCAGATATGTTTTGTCTTAATTCATGATTTGTTTAACTACAAATTTGATTATTCTAGCGCATTATCATCATAGTTGAAAGTTTTCAAACATGTGGGCGGAAGTGCTTCATCAAAAAATCAGTCAAGTTAAGCATTTAATATTGTCAGAGCAGAGTAAATTGCGCCTCATGAATTTCTTCACGGCATCGTTTTAGTGAAATAAGGATTTGATTGATAGATGTTACTGTCTTTTCAGACTCAAAGCACTCGATGTTGTGACACTTCGACGTCTTGCAGAGCGGGTCAACGTGATCCCCGTGATTGCGAAAGCCGACACAACCTGCAAAGATGAACTTATACGATTTAAAAGCAAGGTTATAGTCTTGTTCTATCTACTATCAGCAACAGTGTTGATCCAAAATGTTACTGATTACATGATTTATGCTCTTATAAGTAAAATTGGACAAATTACCTGGTGGATAAGTAATCGTTTTCCTTTGTTTGACAGTCGTTATTACTTCCGGTCTAAGACTGAGCCGATAGAATCTTAGATCTGCTATTTTTTCTTTGATATTATGTAAGTGCATTTATGTTTCCGTCATTTCAAATCATTTATATTGTGATAATCGAGATGCTTTAAATGTTAAATTCTGAGGTCATTATAGTGTCTTATAGATCCTGAGCGAGTTGCGAAGCCATAATATTCCTATCTATCAGTTTCCGACTGACGACGAGACGGTTCGAGCAATAAATACTGAATTAAATCAACTTTTGCCTTATGCTGTTGTGGGTAGTACGGATTTTGTGAAAAAAGAGAATGGTAAAATGGTCAGAGCGCGTAGGTATCCGTGGGGAATGGTTGAAGGTATGGACCTGTATTTTTAATTTGTTGTGGGTCTTAAAGTATTTCAATTAATAAATTCAAGCGCTGTGGGGTTTGCAGTCCAGAAATTATTACAAATAATTAGGAGTAAATTCTGTATAGAGTCTTATGTCAGACAGAGAGTTATGAGATTTAAATAGTATGTAGCTATATCAGCACCAAGTTTCACTGAAGATATATATATCAAAGCTTGATTGTGTATTGTATATTATTAATTCTTAAACATCAAAATGTAGTTGAAAATGAGGAACACTGCGATTTTGTCAAATTACGGGAAGCAGTATTGCGTACAAATGTGGATGCCCTTCGAGAACGAACTCATAAAGTGCTTTATGAAACGTATCGTCGTGAGCGCTTGCGAGCAATGAAAGTTGGTGACGGTGATACCGGGCCTAAAATGATGGAAGCTTTCGCGCAGGTCATTTAATTTGAAATTTTAGTATTTTTATGGAGGTGGTAAAAATCTAGGATTCAGTTGGAATCCTAGATTTTTAATTTGTCGCAAACAAAAATTGTAATGGCTCTATATTTTGTATCTGGTTTAAATCAGTTCAGTCAAAAAAAGACAAGCTTTCTTTTCTGCTTGGGAATTTGCGGTTGAAATTTAAAATTGGGGTAAGTATAGACCCTGAGTTATCACAAGATCATTTTTTAGTTTATTGTCCGATGAACGAATAGTGTTTAGACTTAGTATATTTTCGTTAATTATAGAGACAGCGCGAATTTATTGATGAGATGTCAAACAGGGACAGAGAATTGCGTGAAGAATTTGTTGCTCGTGTCAATAAAAAAGAGGAGGAAATGAAAAGACGAGAAGAGTTGGTTAGTTGTTTAAATTTGGTATCACATTTCCGAAGGTAATGGAAGAGAATACTTCCAAATTTCCTCATTCTCTCATTAAGTGCGAGCAATATCTTAGATTATTGTTTTGGTTTAGTTAAATTTGCGAAGCAAAGAAATCAGTGACGGTTTTGATGAAGAGTTGCGACGTATTGAATCACAGATGCATACATTGCTGGAGGAAAAAGCAAAATATGAATCCAAAGTTGCCGGAAAGAAAATGAAAAAATGAGAGGAAGTGTTCCACATCCGTGACTTACACCACATTGCACAGCTTTATTTTTTCTCAATTCAGTGTTACAAATGTCTATATTATCATGCTCTATCTCTTTCCTCATTGTTAAGTTTCTTTTTGTTTATTCTATTGTGAAAGATGAGGCACCTTTCGCATGTGATGGAAATATGTGCTAATCTCATAAAGTTGTGGATTGTCTCTAAAATTGCTTTACCAAGTGAGGTCGAATTCTGAATGTTTTATTTAATATTGTCTACACTACAGCTATTTGCATTGGATTTTCTGATGTGGAGATTTGACTCTCACTTACCTGGCTTGTAGTATTCCAGAAAATAAATGCTTCAGAAATCCCGAGACTTCTCGTACTACTTTTACACCTTCATAAACTCTTTTGCTTTTTTCGACCTCATTATCGAGCGTTTAGTCGGAAGCTGTGCGATCGATTCTATTTAGTCATAAAGTTATATTCTTTCTGCCTTTCTAAGATGTTATTAATAAATTAACGGTTGTTACCATATTCTTACAAAATATCATTGATTAGGGAAGCTGAGTAAATGTGCTATTCCTTAAATATCCAGTTTGTTATCTGCCTCTTTTTATCAGTTATATTATAGTGCTCGTGGTTTTTAGTTTTAATATTTACCGAGTAGAAGGAATTGTTTCTTGAGCATTGTAAGAATATGGTCCCCTCTTAATCATAATTGTAGGGTGTTTTTATGGTAGCTTCCATATTATTTATTTTTATTAAATGAGACTGAGAGGTTGTTCTTGACTGTTTGTTTTATTCTTGTTTTAAAGTTTATTATTGTTTATTTTGTTCGTATTCTATGCAGTAAGTTGTTCCATGGTTGTTTAATTTTGAATACTTAACAATTATCGTGGTTTGTTCTGCATTCGATCAGAGGTTTTAGAGTCGGTTTGTAGTGTCTCGAAAGCTGCTTTTCATATGCCGTATCTATAATCACGAAATTGTTTTCGAGATGCCTATCCATACCTGATCTGGTCTCGTGTTTCACGCTGCTGGATTAAGGGTATGTTGTGTGCTCCGAGAAATGCTGGGAATCTCTTCGTGATTCCCTGAATGTGGGTGGTTTTCTTTAAATTTCAAGGAATTTACAGCGTAGCTAAAGATATTTCTTCTAACTGAATTTGTTCTTGCTTTGGTTCATTATAGAGGTAGCAAAAAATGGCTTGGTAATTCCCCTATGGAAATACAAGGCTATAATGTGATATAGTCTGGTGAACTCATGAATTCTGTATGTCATGTAAGCCGGGAAGTGAAGATGGCTAGTACCGTTTGGGTATGTTCGTCATATAGAAACAGAGCTAAGTGCAGTGGTTTACTAGTCGTACCTTAATCATGGTTTATAATTTCCTCAGAACCGGTGCGTATTGAACGATGTTGGGTTCTCACATTTGAGTCAGTCAAATGGGACAGGACTTTCTCTAATTTCACACAGATTAAACGTGAGAAACCTGTTTTCAGTTGAACATTGTTTAATATCGGTAATTATACATGCATTGTTCTCATATACATAAAAGACATCGCAGCAGAAATTCGTACCAATAATCATTCGAGAACTTTGGCTCCTTTGAGATTAAAAGTTACTAGCGTTAAGTTTGCATGCACTATTCGTGTCTAATTTGTAGTCACATTACTCGGCGAAGTCTCGCGTACGACCACATGGTCTGTACTTGATTGCGACTGATTTCTTTTGTTAAGCGATATTTTCGTTGTGTCATGCGAGGCCCGTCGCTTTCGTAACTTACCAAAATATCCCACTTCTGTTGTATTTGATAAATGCTGATCTGTAGTTTTTATATGTCCACTAAATGACGTGTTAGTTGCATCTGGAGCTGAGAGTGCTTTGTCAGTGGGTTCTCCCATATCTTCATGGCTACCAATCTGCAAAAATTTTTGTGAAGAGTTTTTGAGCTGAAGTTGCGAATTTGTATAATTTATATACAGCATTTATATTTATTCTCCCAAAAACAATGCTTTGAGTTGAGTTGCTAAAGGCTGTAGTTTCGGATTTACAACTGAGGGACTATGAATATTTATTTTATTTATAGTTATGATCTTATTCTCAAAAATGGAATAACGCAGAACACAAACGCAAATGTGTATTTGAAGAACGGGTTGGATTACTGCTCTTTCATTATATTTAACGTTTCTTCCGCACAAACTTTGGAGATAATGATGAAGTAGATTGGGACTAGTATTACGGACTTGTCGCGCATAATACAAAAATAAATTAGATAAATAAATGATAAACCTCTTTCTGAGGTGTGCCACGGTAGCATAACACGTAAAACTTAGATGCGCATCCTTTAGCGTCACGTTCGGCCACGGGATATAAGCACAAGCAGTCCGGATCTCTGGTCATATCTGGCCTATTTTGTGTACAGCTTTTGTCAGTATCATCGTGTGGTATTGAATGTTTTAGTGCATCGAGAGGTGGACAACGACTCGCCTGAAAAAAGTTACCTTTTTTAGGAAGCGCATTATCACACTTTAACGTGAATCGCCCGCCTATGATCTAACAACAGGGTTATTTTTTCACTATCAAGCAGCTATTACTTTATGAAAGAATGACAGTCATAAAAAGTCACCTTAGGAAGTTGTTTGATAACTGCTGTGACTCTGACTGCACCGTTATAAGCACCTGTTTTTTTGTTCGTTTTCTCCAATTTAGAGCTACTATTACTATCAGATTCTTCAAATTTGTTACTGCTAGCATTTGCCACTTCATGTTCAGAAACATTTACGATGTACTGCGATTCGCTAGTATGACTTATTGTTTCTCGTATCTTCTCAGAAACTACAGATTGTGAATATACAGGAGCATTTTGTACACCCGGAGTGGCGCTTTCTTTCTCATTCTTTCTTTCTTCTTGCTGCTGTTGTGCATTACCATATGGTTCAACACGACTTTCTTCTGTTCTTTTTGATCTTTTGTAGTAGTGATTAACAATATAGTAAGGAATGTGTTCATTCTTTTGCATTATATTCGAATTTAGCTGAGGTATTACACTGACTGATTCCTGCTGAAAATTTGATGACAGATAAGTATCAGTAGGATCAGATTTCATTTGGTAAACTGTATTTATTGAATACTTGGCGCTCGCTTCGACGTCTGTATTGTTTTTGTGAGCAGTGGTACTTTGGTATGCAATAGGTATTTTATTTTGGAAAGTATCTTTTGAGGACGTAATGTTTGACGTTTGAAGTAACCATGAAGAATTCGATTTTGATTGAACTTTAGTTTCTAGAATAGGTTGTGGCTTGGAAATGCTACGTATGCTGGTTCTATCTTTCCTTGTTTGGATTTTCCGTGAATCATATTTAAACTTCTTGTTACTTTGCTTAGACAAACGTTTCTTGCTCCTACCGATCCTCAACTTGTCTCTTACTTTTGTTTTCAAAATATTGGGAACTTTATTATCGTGATCAGATATAAAGGTATCAATGAGAGTGGTATTAATAATAATTGGTTTAGACTTGTTTACACCTGACTTTCCAAACTCTGCCATCAAAAGCTTATTGTTTCGGCTTACCCCATAATTCTGGCTGTTATACGCTTCATCTTGCTTTATGTTATTGCCTTGATCTTCCTGATTTTTGTTGACTGAAAAATAAGTTCATTATAACAGAAATAGAAACACCTTTAATTTTTTACATTAATTTATTATGCATGCATTTATGCAATCACTAACAATGTAGATAAAATTATGTACTCTACAATTTTACATCGATATGGTTTAGATCAGTTTGAAATGTATTACTCATCCAGCAAGGTTACAAATTTTGAAAATAAGAAATAACGGTCTACAATTCAACTTTATTAAATTCCACTCTAAGGATGAGATAATTTTTAACGAAAATAACAAAGGATTTGTGGTGAGTACAATACTAACCAAAAGTTTGACCATTGACAAAGAGGAAGACTGGCCAGTAGTATGCCAAATGCCAAAGAAAAATCATCCAGTTGTTCCTTCAGATTCTAGCAAATAGTCTTTAAAAATACTACAACTTGCAGCACTGAAATAAAAAGAACATTATAAATGGAATTAAAAAGTTTTGATTAAATTCTTATCTTTTGAGCAAGAGCTTATTGACGATGTTTAATTAATAAACAAATGAAAAAGTTGTTGCTGAATCCATTAATTTTGATGAAATGAGGACAGGTTCTGATATTTTCGTCAAAAGCTTCAAGGCAAATATTCAGAAGCTGCTAAAAGAAAGAGAAATTCTACATAAAACATCTAAAACTTATCAATACTTTCTCTTTCTTTCGTTCATAGATTTATTAGCACCTACTCTACCTTTTCGGAATAATAATTAAGAGATACTGACGATGACAAGCTATTTATTATTATCATGATAAATAAAGATTATATCTATAAAATGGATGCAGAAGAAGAGCAAGTTCTTCATACTAATATTTGCTGCGGGCAGAAAAAGAATTTCTTTATTGCTGATAATCTGCAACATAAACTAATAAACAACATGAACTTTATGAAAATTTGTAGCATATTCTGATTGTAAAAAGATTCGTAAATTAGTTTTAGATTTTGTACACATCTCAAATAATTAAATGCTGAAGAGATCAGTTCACAAACTTTTACGATTTTTATTTCTAGATAATTTTGTTTGACTTGATAATCTGCAAAACTACCTTCCATCATTTCGTTTGATTTCTCTCTCTTATAATCAAGAACGTACTATATACATTAATTGCAACTTGTTATTGCCTAAAATAAAAAAGGGTTATTAAATTTTTTTTTGAATAATAAAACATGTAGCATTAATTTTGATACAAACCGAACACCTACTTCAGATTCTTTGGTAGAAGTAAAGGTAAATTTAATAGAGAAGCAGTACTGTGCATATACACTTCCGAGTCATATCAGCAAAATTTCCAAACAGAAATTAATTTCAAACATAATTATAGTGTGCAATTTGCCATTTATATATTTTGTATAGCAGTTTAATTTGAAATCAGTTTGAAGTTTCTTATTGTATTACTGAAATGAAATCCTTAGACTTGATAATCAAATTATCAGTTGGCGTTTATCATACAGTAGTGCATGAACTAGAACATTTACAGTCCATTTAACAAGTTGGAGTTTGATTTCAAATCGCTGATTTTATTATATGAGTTGAGTCGCATATTATTATTCCATTCATTTGCGATTAAAAACAAAGTGCAATTGTTGAAAAGATATCTAAATTATGGGACTCATATCAAGGAAATGACCATTCACAAATCATTTTGGGAATAAATACTATTTTTATCAATATTCTTACGATTGACTAACTTAATTTTAACAGAGATTCGATCAAATGATTCATATGAGTTTACTCAGATTACAATGGTAAGCATGAAAAAAGAAGCAAAATTATCGCTTTCAAGTTTTAAAGATAAATTCAACTTCAATTAAAATTTTATCCAAGACTTACTATTGTTTAGTTTTGTCGATTTAAATGATGATAAAGTAAAACCTTGAACAGATTAAATTATTAATAACAACTAAAAACTTGCGCATTATGTTCAACTTTAAGTCAAAATATGTAAATACAATAAATATATCAAAAATAAAATATCTTGAAAAAAATGATTGCTTCGGTAATAGCTTAAACAATCAATTCTCGATGTTTATCGATTTGAAATTTGAATTATGCCAAGCATTTGCAATTGTAAATTTGCTACAAAAATTTGAAATTTTATAACAATATGTGAAATATATACACATTTACTCAACACGCCCAAATAACAATATTATGCGTCTTTTGAGTTTCAAAGTATTGCTTTCGTTTTCTCATAAATTTCCAGGTTTTCTGGAATGAATTCGGTATGAACTGTAAGTGGAATGAATTCGGTATGAACTTTTGCGACTTAAATTTGCGCTTTTGTAGATAACGTAAATTATGAAATATTTCAGGATTTGGGTAATTGTACGTTAGCTATCA